GGAGAGGGCATGAGGATGGCGCGCGGTTACTTTCCTCCCACTAAGACACTACACAGACACATCCTGACTCACCAGGGATGTAATAATGATGTCTCAGTTATCTTGTGGACACAACCATTACGAACATTTAGGATGTGGTCACCAAGCAATCAGAGAACTAGAACGTGGCTAGAACCTCTCCCACCACCTTAGAACGTGGCTGAACCTCCCACCACCTAGAACGTGGCTAGAACCTCTCCCACCACCAGAACGTGGCTAGAACCTCTCCCACCACCTTAGAACGTGGCTAGAACCCTCTCCCACCACCTTAGAACGTGGCTAGAACCTCTCCCACCACCTTAGAACGTGGCTAGAACCTCCTCCCACCACCTTAGAACGTGGCTAGAACCTCTCCCACCACCTTAGAACGTGGCTGAACCTCTCCCACCACCTTAGAACGTGGCTAGAACCTCTCCCACCACCTTAGAACGTGGCTAGAACCTCTCCCACCACCTAGAACGTGGCTAGAACCTCGCCCACCACCTAGAACGTGGCTAGAACCTCTCCCACCACCTTAGAACGTGGCTAGAATCTCTCCCACCACCTTAGAACGTGGCTAGGAACTCTCCCACCACCTTAGAACGTGGCTAGAACTCGCCCACCACCCAGAACGTGGCTAGAATCTCTCCCACCACCTTAGAACGGCTAGAACCTCTCCCACCACCTTAGAACGTGATAGAACCTCTCCACCACCTTAGAACGTGGCTAGAACCTCTCCCACCACCTTAGAACGTGGCTAGAACCTCCCCACCACCTTAGAACGTGGATAGAACCTCTCCCACCACCTTAGAACGTGGCTAGACCCTCCCACCACTTTAGGATGGCCACAACCTCCCACCCTTAGAACGTGGCTAGAATCTCCCACCACCTTAGAACGTGGCTAGAACCTCTCCCACCACCTTAGAACGTGGATAGAACCTCTCCCACCACCTTAGAACGGCTAGGACCCTCCCACCACCTTAGATGTGGCCACAACCTCCCTCCCTCCCCTAACACCCTCCTGTATCACACTCCCCAAATCCCCCACCGAATCCTACTACAGAGGATCATCCCCACCAAACAGTCGACAGCAACACCTTTACAGATTAATGTTGACCTGACTTGATCCTGACCCCGGATTATATCACCGATTATACCAGGGATTATACCACTGATGAGACATACATACATACGAACTCTCCCACACACACACAGAGTAATCACCCCACATTACCGTCACAAAAGACTCAGTAACAATCTTATCGTCTCAACGCGGGTCGTAACAAAGTGTTTAATAGATTCTTCGGTGTGTGTGTGTGTGTGTGTGTGGTGTGTGTGTGTGTGTGTGTGTGTGTGATGAAACTCTCCTGTGCTGAGGTTAAAATGCATTCTTATGAGTATTTCAGCAGGATTTTGGGCTAGTTTGTGACATTAAACACAACCCAAACAAGCACAACCCACCACACATCACACAAACGAGCACTACACACCACACGCCACACAAACAAGCACCACACACCACACGCCACACAAACAAGCACCACACACCACACACACAAACAAGCACAACCCACCACACACACACAAACGAGCACTACACACCACACGCCACACAAACAAGCACCACACACCACACGCCACACAAACAAGCACCACACACCACACGCCACAAAACAAGCACAACCCACCACACATCACACAAACGAGCACTACACACCACACCCACACAAACAAGCACCACACACCACACGCCACACAAACAAGCACCACACACCACACGCCACACAAACAAGCACTACACACACCACACGCCACACAAACAAGCACCACACACCACACGCCACACAAACAAGCACTACACGCCACGCAAACAAGCACCACACAACACGCCACACAAACAAGCACTACACGCCACGCAAACAAGCACCACACACCACACGCCACCAAACAAGCACAACCCACCACACATCACACAAACGAGCACTACACACCACACCCACACAAACAAGCACCACACACCACACGCCACACAAACAAGCACTACACACCACACGCCCACAAACAAGCACTACACACCACACGCCACACAAACAAGCACTACACACAAACACACCACACAACACGCCACACAAACAAGACTACACGCCACGCAAACAAGCACCACACACACACAAACAAGCACCACACACCACACGCCACACAAATAAGCACTACACGCCACGCAAACAAGCACCACACACAACACGCCACACAACAAGCACCACACACCACACGCCACACAAACAAGCACTACACGCCACGCAAACAAGCACCACACACAACACGCCACACAAACAAGCACTACACGCCACGCAAACAAGCACTACACGCCACGCAAACAAGCACCACACACCACACGCCACACAAACAGCAACACGCCACGCAAACAAGCACCACACACAACACGCCACACAAACAGCACCACACACCACACAAACAAGCACTACACGCCACGCAAACAAGCACTACACGCCACGCAAACAAGCACTACACGCCACGCAAACAAGCACCCCACCACACGCCACACAAACAAGCACCAAGCCACGCAAACAAGCACCCACACAACACGCCACAAACAAGCACCACACACCACACCCACACAAACAAGCACTACACGCCACACAAACAAGCCACACACAACACGCCACGCAAACAAGCACCACACGCCACGCCAACAAACACCACACGCCACGCAAACGAGCACCACACACCACACGCCACACAAACAAGCACCACACACCACACAAACAAGCACTACACGCCACGCAAACAGCACCACACACCACACACACAAACAAGCACTACACGCCACGCAAACAAGCACTACACGCCACACAAACGAGCACCCCACACCACACGCCACACAAACAAGCACCACACACCACACGCCACAAACAAGCACTACACGCCACGCAAACAAGCACTACACGCCACACAAACGAGCACCACACCACACGCCACACAAACAAGCACCACACACCACACGCCACACAAACAAGCACTACACGCCACGCAAACAAGCACCCCACACCACACGCCACAAACAAGCACCCCACACCACACGCCACACAAACAAGCACCACACACCACACGCCACGCAAACAAGCACCACCCAAACAAGCACCACACAACACGCCACACAAACAAGCACCACACGCCACCCAAACAAGCACCACACACAACACGCCACACAAACAAGCACCACACACCACACGCCACGCAAACAAGCACCACACGCCACGCCAACAAACACCACACGCCACGCAAACGAGCACCACACACCACACGCCACGCAAACAAGCACCACACACCACACAAACAAGCACTACACGCCACGCAAAGAAGCACCACACACCACACGCACACAAACAAGCACTACACGCCAAGCAAACAAGCACCACGCCACGCCAACAAACACCACACGGCACGCAACAAGCACCACACACCACACGCACACAAACAAGCACTACACGCCAAGCAAACAAGCACCACACGCCACGCCAACAAGCACCACACGCCACACAAACAAACACCACGCCACGCAAACAAGCACCACACGCCATGCAAACAAACACCACACGCCACGCAAACAAGCACCACACACCACGCCAACAAACACCACACGCCACGCCAACAAACACCACACGCCATGCAAACAAGCACTACACGCCACGCCAACAAACACCACACGCCAAACAAACAAGCACTACCGCCACGCCAACAAACACCACACGCCACGCCAACAAACACCACACGCCATGCAACAAGCACTACACGCCACGCCAACAAACACCACACGCCACACAAACAAGCACTACACGCCATGCAAACAGCACACGCCACGCCAACAAACACCACACGCCATGCAAACAAGCACTACACGCCACGCCAACAAACACCACACGCCACACAAACAAGCACCACACGCCACGCCAACAAACACCACACGCCATGCAACAAGCACTACACGCCACGCAAACGAGCACCACACGCCACGCCAACAAACACCACACGCCACACAAGCAAGCACTACACGCCACGCAAACAAGCACCACACGCCACGCCAACAAACACCATACGCCACACAAACAAGCACTACACGCCACGCAAACAAGCACCACACGCCACACAAACAAGCACTACACGCCACGCAAACAAGCACCACACGCCACGCCAACAAGCACCACACGCCACGCCAACAAGTAAGGCTGACAGTAATCAGGCGACACGTGCCCTGTATGAATATTAATGATCAAGTTTACTGATATTAGGATGTTACTATTATACCACGACTCTGAGGTATTAGTGTTACAATTATACCACGACTCTGAGGTATCTCCACGAATTAGAGATGTAAGAACCGTTACTATCTGTTTAATGAACTTGTGACAGCTGACAGCCACGACTCTGTGACAGCTGACAGCCATAATTCATAACCTTATAACAGCTGACAGACAGCCATAGTTCACGTGATAACCTCGCGTGAGACACAACAACAGTCCTACCTGGTTATAAGCTCTCCCACCACCTCTCCCGAGACCTCACCTGCATCCCGGTAATTGGGTGACCAGCAGCCCCAGCCTCCAGCATCCGTCTCCCCGCATGACTGTGTGATGGACAGGAGGATGGAGGGGAAGGGAGGAGGATGGAGAGGAGGGGGAGGGTGGAGAGGATGGAGGAGGAGAGGGAGGGGAGATGGAGAGGGGGGGATGGAGAGGGAGGGAGAGGGAGAGGTCTCATAGTGAGGGACACGTGCCGAAAGCGATCACGCGTGCACCCAAGTAATGACTGTACGCGTCCCCTGGGATATTCTCCTTGGGACCAACCAGTATGTTACCCGTCGTGGTTCTGAGAGAGCTGGGACGGCTGGGAGGGCTGGGAAGGTGGGAGGGTTGGGAGGTTTGGGAGGGCTGGGAGAGCTTTGGAGGCTAATCACATAATGG